AGAACGATACAAGAACACAGTGTTCAGGTCTATTATAGGCGTTTGTGCTTCTGTCTGTACCTCAATCTTGTTAGTTGAATACTGCGCGTTTGCGCCTCTCCCGGTTTTTCGGGTGTGTGGGTGTGTGTGTGTGTGTCTGTGTCTGTGTCTGTGTCTGTGTCTGTGTGTCTGTATGTCTGTGGACGCCAGTGTGGCTGTTCACTTGTACCACGTGCCTTGCGCTGGCCCTGTTGGTGTGGAACCCACACCATGAGTATTAAGTGCCTTCGCTCACAGTTCAAATACCCCCCCCCCACACACACATACCCGCACCCATAAACACACACAGGGTTTGTTGAAACCGAGCCTGCCTGTTGCGCAGGTACTTGCGCAATATGTGGAGGAGACGGAGGACAGCAAGTTGAAGCGCGAGGCAGCTGTCCTGTCGCTATCCTTGCTGCCGGCTGATGCCCCGCCCACGCTGGACGCGCTGCAAGTGGTGCTGACGAACATGATTGCGCTGAAACGGTTTGACGCCGCCGTGAACCTCCTACGAAACCCGGCCTGCAACGAGGCAGACCGGTACGTGCTGACACAGCGCATGGTGGAGCACCCGCAGGTGCCACGTCACGTGGTCACGCGTGCACTTCGCTCCCTCTCCGTCGACCTCACAGAACGTGTGGCTGAGGCTGTGCGGGAACTGAACGTGCGTGGTGTTGACGTTGGCGATCCGGCCGCAGACGCATGATGAGACACGTGCTGTGTGTGTGCGCGGATGTATGTATATGTGTGTGTGCGCGGATGTATGTGTGTGTGTGTGTGTGTGCGCGCGTGTGTGTGTGTGATTGGTGATTCCTGTCTTTCTTCCACATCGCCCACAGAGTCTCCACCACTGTCGTTCCTCCACCGCCTTTCCCCCCTCTTCCCATCTTCTCCGTCTTTGCGCGGCTGACATTCTCATGTCAATGTATTCTATTGTCTGTTGACCACTGAGACCACAAACAGCGCGAACATTTGAGAAGAACAGCGGTGAGCAGGGGACACAAGCAAGTGAGAAGCGGAAGCAAAAGCAAGCGCGATTCGCCCACAGCGGCGTGACAGATCCAATGAGAGTCAGCACACACACACACACACACACACAACGCCGTGCAAGGCGGGTCATCAAACAGCAGACAAAACGAACGACCAAGCACGAGAACACACGCACGCGCGCGCACACATACACCACCCACAACTTTCCTTCTTCCACTCGCACACACACATAGTGGCACGCACACGTTTTGATTAATGACAAGCGAGGAAAGAAAGCAAGCAGCAAACTAAGAAAGCTGAACGAGTACCAGCAAGCAAGTGAGCGAGGCAGATGGCATGAGTAAACAAACAGGTATGATGCAAAACCTGTGCTGCAAACAGTACAAAGTAACATTACGTACGGCACACGACACACACACGCACGGCTGCAGCCCCACGACCGCAAGCGCACGCACATGACAGGTCTAGTGCTGCCGCCAGTCGCGCGGCAGTGATCAGCACACGCCAGGTAGCGTGCAGCACGCGCTGTCACGCAAAGAGGGCGCACTGCGACGCAAGCAGGATGCCCGTGTCCGAGTGGCAGAGCGTCTGCAGCCACGCCTCTTCCAGCGACGTGAGCTGCTCTGGCGAGCGACGCGCCTTGATCAGCAGCTGCACGTTCTTATTCAACATCTCCACGGCCGTCTTGAGGCGTTGGAATTCGCGCTCCCGCTCCTCAAGCGCCTGCTTGTCCAGCAGTTTGCGCGCTTTCGCCTTTTCCCGGCTCCGATGCACCTGGTGAAGAGGGCCGCCGGGGGGGGGGGGAAGGAGAGGTGAGGGGATGGGTGAGCATACAGTCTCAACACCATGGCATGGATGATGGGAGTTGTGCTTTGGCAAGCATGCACCGACATACAGACTCACACGCAGACAGACACACGCGCAGACAACCACAAAACACACACACACACACGCAGACACACATACCTACACGCATGCACGCACACAGCACGTACAGCGGCGTTGTTTCGTTCGCGGATGGCACGCCACTCGGACCAGGCTGCGGAGAAGGCATCATCCGTGTCAAAGTCTTCCCTGTTGGGCTGCTTGCGGTACTGCCGCCCGCGCGGCTTCTTCGCATCAAGGCCAGTCTGTTGTTTGGGTTTGATTTCGTGAGGGGGGGGGGAGATGAGGCGATAACGAAAGAGGGCGGTTCGTTTGGGTACACACAAACATACAGACGTACATACAGACATACATACAGACACACACACAGACATACATACAGAGCCCCCCCCCCCCAACACACACACACGTGCAAGTCATCGCAGCAGTCAACGGACCGAGTCGACGGAGGTTGAAGAGGAGCGGCGCTTGGCAGACGGACGATTTGGCGATCCCGCCTGCTGCGACGATACACTCTGACGCGCAGAGTCGTGCCCTGCTGGGGGCGTTGCTGCCAGCTGCTGCTGTGCTTGCGCTTGTCCTTGTCCTTGTTGCTGTGGGACGAGCAGGGCCGGTGTACCGAGATTGCCTGCAAGACCAGCGCCCATGCCAGCACCAAGAAGCTGCTGTTGCTGCTGTTGTTGCTGTTGCTGTTGCAGTTGGTGTTGCTGCTGTAGCTGTTGCAGTTGATGTAGCTGCTGCTGCAACATTGCCGGGTCTGACACCAGCTGCGCCATCTGCTTTCCAAACATGGCAAACCCGGGTGCTTCCTCCTTTGCTGTTCGTCTGCGGGCACCTCCATCACTGCCACCACCAGCACCGTTGGCTGCCCGGTGTTTGCTCTGCTTGGTTGGCGGACCAGACATTCCTGTCGATGCTGCTGCTGCTGCTGTTGTTGTTGTCTTGCCACCAGCAGCAACACCACCGCTGCTGGTGCTTGCCTTTGAGCGACGCTGGGCATTTGCCCCACTTGTCTCCGCCGCTCGACCACGGCTACCACGCCCACGACCCCGCCCGCGCGTGCTGCCAGATGCATCTGCTGCGCCGCGCTTCCCGCCGCGCCCCGGCTTGGACGATCGCGACGCCTTTGCGGAGGAGGTTGGCGTGGTGGCGCTGGCGCTGCTGGGCGATGCCCCCGTTTTGTCTGCGCCCATATCCATGCCCATACCCAGGCCGCCCTCGGTGCTGCCAAAGCTTCCGTTTGACGAGCGGCGGACCTGTGACAAGAAGCTGAAGGGAGACTTGCCCTGGCTGGACGCATCGCGGCTGCCGCTTGGGAGCAGTGTTGCTGCCGCCGTTGCCGACGACGCGGTGGATGGGCTCTTCCCAGCAGAGGGCGCGCTGTCCTGCTGCCGCCGCTGCTGGTGGCCGTTGTCGTGGACAATGGGTGCTGGGCGGTAGTTGTTGAACTTGACGGAGCTGCCGAGGTTCAGGGCCTGGATGATGGAGTTTGAGTTTTGGTCGTGGTTTGGTGGCGGGTACTCAAAGGCGTGCAGGGAGGGCGCTTCCAAGCTGAGGCCCTCGATTTGCGAGAGCGACGGCACGGAGAGGTTTGGGTCTGCCTCTTGCAGCAGCCGGAAGAGGCTGTTGGTGGACTGTTCCAGACAGAGCTCTGGCGGGGGTGCCGGGAGTCCTTCCATGGCTGGGGGTCCTCCGAGGCCGGTTGCACCAACCTCTGGGTGAGGCAGGGGCGGCTGCCGCTGCACCTGTGCTTGTCCGCCAAAGGAAGAGGAGGTGCCACCGCGTGCGAACTGAAAGGAGGTGGCGACGTTTGCTTGCTGCGCCACGCCTGTCGCCAAACCAAACCCGGAGAAGAACGGGGAAAGGTGTGCGCCCTGTTGCTGCAAGTGTTGTGGCACTGTTGCAGAAGGACGCGTGCCTCGCTGTTGCGGTGGCGGCTGCTGCTGCTGCTGTTGACGGTGGCGCTGTGAGTCAGACATAATGACTTCCCCTCAGCACACGCGAGTGCACGCTGGCGCAAGGGGCAGAAGAACAAGAAGGCACAAGAAGAAGGCACAAGAAGAAGAAGAAAGCAGGTATGTAGGCCGTTTGCTGTGTTGGTTTGTCAAGTACACCTGCGCTTGCAGCAATAAGCAATTTCGGCAATCGCCAAGCCAGAACGTGAGTGTATGTCCGTGTGGGCGAGT